GAATGCCAACCTGGCCTTTCAGGTGAGAAACAATACTGAAATAATAACAGCAGCATCTCACAGTAAAAACATACATATCTGTAAAACTTCTTTAAATCTAATTCATTAAACTCAATGCCTAATACTGTTTTTGATATCAGTCTTTGTCCACTGATTGTATATAAAAACGGGGCAAACCCACTGTGACGTCACCCATTGGTTTTCTGAAAAGCCAATATGGCTGTCGCTATATCAGTAGTGCTTCACTCCACCTGCTAGGTCTAATCCAAAAATGGGCAAAGAGGCGGAGCATGAGTGAGCTTGCTAGACAGCTAGTGGCCAGCTACCTATGGTGAGGCCCTCCCACCTGTCATTTAAAGCAGCCGTTATGCATAACTTTTACTCTGTTCTGCAGCTGTGGTCTCGCTCAGGCAACAGGAAGGGGAAATTAGCAATAGAGACCAAAACAGTTTTTTGTACCAGGCCACAAACATGTTTACTACAAGTCTGTTGTATATTGTACATTACCTTACATATCTTACTGTAAATATCAATTGTACATATCTGTCTGTAAATTAGTACTGACTGTAGATACTGTGCACTCCGCACTGCTGTTATAGCACTTCTGGTTAGATGCTAAACTGTATTTCGTTGCCTTGTACTTGTACATTGGTACAATAAAGTTGAATCTAATCTAATCTAATTTCTGCTGTAAAGATGGGCATTTTAACATTAGAGTCTGCTGGGATGGACTCCCTTTTGGAGCCGGCCTCAAGCGGCTATTTGAACACCTGCAGGTTCTGGCACCTCCACAAGGGCTTCATTTCTCAGCCCCGGAGGTTGCCACTTGATCTTGTCCTATATACACACACACTATACTTGTATTCTCTTGTATGTGTTATGTGTTTGCCTCCTCAGCGCCATGAAACCATGATGCTAATCAACACCATACTGGATGTTTATCCCCGCTCTTCAGCCCAGCATGGAGCTAAAAGTAATGATGAGATAGTCTGTGATCTGGCTGAATCTATACTAGCCAAGATACCTGGTATATTGATATATACACACACATATACTTACACCAACCCACACACATTCATAGTCAGTTTGAGTAACTGCTGAGAATATAATTTGCAAAGCTCAATAACTAATACTGTTTTTTACTGTTTTTGATATCAATTTTGTCCACCTGTCTTCCTGTCCATCTGTCTGTGTACAGAGCATCTGAACATGGATGAGGCAGTGGAAACTCTTTTTGTACAAGATGAAAATGGCCGCCTTAACTCGCTCACAACTGTGTTGGGCCAAGAAGTTGACCGATTCAACAACCTGCTCAGAGTTCTCAGGGTGACACATAAAACACACATTTGAATGTTATAGACAGGAGTCATGCAGTCGCGGAGCCAGGCAATTCACACAGGGGTAGCCAGGCTGAGGCCAGTACTCACTTTGAGATGGCACAGAAATTAGTGTCTTGTTCAGTTTTTCCTGCGTCTCTCCTTCATGTTGCCTGTTGATACTGTATTTCTGTGGAAAAACACACAAAGCCCCGCTAGCCTACAGTCGAGTTTAGTGTCCGTGTCTGACTACACATCTAGTTGCCAACAGTAGCAGCTCACTAGATGGCTCAAACACACAGCTTTTCTAGTTGTAGTAGGTCAGTAGGATGTATTCCAATAGACATGCTGAAACACTTACTACCTTTTATTAAACAGCCACTTCACTTCTGCTTAACTATTCAGCTGCTAATGATAGATTTCCTGTTGCTCTTCTTTCACATTAAAAGCATTTAATTTCAAAACAGTGGATGGTGTTGTGTAGTAGCCATCACTGCTGCATTACAAACCAGTATCTATTTTATGCCTTTCATGCTCAAATATGTCCTTAACTGAAATAGGTCCATTCATCTAACTACTGTCAACACAATGTCTTTGTCATAACTTTGTCAGCTGTGACTTTTGGTTTTATCTCACCACCAGGTCACTGGCTCCACCGTACGAGTTATGTTTTAAAGAAGCAGTTTGGATTGAACTTTTTTTCCTGTCAGCTACTGATATCAGAGGACACTACAAAAGAAAATAAAATTGGACCCATGTCTTATATATCTCAAAGGGAAGCTGAAAAACTTAGAAAAAATTAACATCCAAACTGATGAAGCCTCTTGGATGAGAGGTGAAATGTCTTCGACCTAGAAATCTAGTCCAGTTGTATTTTTTTCTAAGTTTTTTCAGCTTACTATGACCTGGATGACTGAGAATCTGCACAGACATCTCAAAGGGAAAAAACTGCATTTGTAGAAGTCTTATGTCCTTTCATCCACCTCATTGATCAGCTGACTTATTTTTTTTTCCTTTTTTTATGTGCTTCCCAGATGTCCCTTGTCACTCTGCAGAAAGCCATAGCAGGTCTGGTGGTGATGTCAGAGGAAATGGACCGTATCTACACAAGCTTCTTGAATAATCAGGTCCCCACCCACTGGGCAACTTCTGCCTACCCTTCTCTCAAAACCCTGTCTTCCTGGGTCAAGGACCTGGTCCTCAGGACTGCTTTCATCCAGGTTTGTGAGAGGCTGCAGATATTTACACAGAAACACACATTTGCATGTTTGGTGTAAATTATGCAGAGTTACAAATATGGTGTTTAAAATAATTTGTCTCAATAAATACATTTAAACTGATTTGTAACAACATAGGAAAAGATGTGATAATTATATGACAGTGGATATTGTTTGATTGTGTGCATCTGAGTGCAAGTGTGCAGGTATTTCTGTGTGATCCCTTGCTGGGCAGAAAAACATTTACAAGAACATTTTGTAATCTTCCCTGGGACAGACTCTCTCACTCTCTCTCCCTTTCCCTCCTCCTATATACAGCATTTGGTTCATCTCCCCTGATTTGAACTGTTCTTCCATTAGACTGGTCTGAGCATGTGTGTTGCACAGTCACTAAAATTCATTCTCTCTCACACACATAAAAGGGGCAAACAGGGCAGAGTTGCATGAGTTTGTAACATGATGGGTCACTGCTTAGTCCTGCTGTATATGTTCACTACCTCAGAAGAGAGATTCTGCCTCACTGTGCCAGCACATGTTGAGTCAGTGAATCTTTCAGGTCTCATGAGTAATGGGATGCCTGCAAAGCACCGTGGCTTATTTAACACTGAACACAACAGATTAAAAACTTTAGCTATTTAAAGATACATTTAATTACATCTCTTCCTCTCTTTCATCTCCTCTTGCTAGACCTGGATCACACGTGGTCAGCCCAAATCTTTTTGGATCTCTGGATTTTTCTTCCCTCAAGGCTTTCTTACTGGTAAAACACTGCAATACCAAAACATCCTCAATCTTTTTAGTGAGCTGCCACAGTAAGGGAAATGCCAAAACTGCTATAATATAATAGAATTATAGTGATCATTCTTTCAAGCATATACTGTACATGAAAATAATGTGATTAGCTTTTAACTACTCCCTATCCTTGGTTGCCACTATTTCAATGCACTATTGTGCAAAGAACAATGCTGAGTTACTGTATGTGTGTTTCATCGTGTGTGTCTTTGCTTCCTGTTTATTGTTATCTCTGTGTGTTTCATCGTGTGTGTTATGTCTTTGCTTCCTGTTTATTGTTATCTGCGTGTTGGCCTGTAGGAGTGCTGCAGAATCATGCCAGGCGTTACAGTTTGCCCATTGATGAGCTGAACTTCCGCTTCAGCCTGGCTCCAACATACAGGGATCAGGCAGTGGTCTATGAGGCTCTACGCACTCTGCCCATCAATGCAGAACTGGACATGGATAAAGAGGTACTGGAAAGGTTGTTGTTGGTATGTGATGTGTAAGGACCCTCATTAATCTATAAGGCATGGACCACTGTAGCACTGGTCCCTAATCACTGGATCACATCCAACTGGTAACATCACTCCCCATGTTGCACTCACCTTATCTCATGTCATCTCCTTACGTGGAGGCTAATGAAGGTATAAAATGTGCCCAAAAACGACTTAAAAATCGCTTCTTTCAAAAATTATTGTTGGCGTTAGTATCAAGGCAGCAGACATCATAAATGTCCAGAAGAGAAATAAGAAATAACACAAAATAGAAGCATCAAACACTACAATGGAGTCTTTTGGGAATTGTATTACTTTTTGCATTCTTAGCTTAGAACTTAGGTAAGAACTCTATGTCCATCCACCTCGAATTCACTCTGCAGAATTTACATATCTTGGGCCAGTTGTAGCTCAGGAGGTAGTGCGGGTAATTTTCTAACCATAAGGTTGGCACTTTGATCCCTGGCTTCTACAGCATGTGTCAGTGTCCTCGGATAAGACACTGAAACCCAAGTTGCTCCCGCTTTCAACTGCCATTAGTGTATGTGTGGATGTGACAAATTGTATCAGATTCTGAACCTGGGTATGCGGAAGTGTTTTTGAGTATTGATGGGGCAGAGACTTCATGGATACAATGCAAAGCATTTTTGTTATGCCTCGCCTCCACACTGACATCCTCATGCCCAGAGGTGTTATTTTTTGGGTTGTCCATCCGACCGTTCATACGTCCATCAGACTCATTCTTGAAGGAATTTATTCACATTTGACATAAGTGTCCACTTGGACTCAGTGATTAACTGATTACATTTTGGCTGTCAAAGATCATAGTCACAGTGACCTCATGTCTGTCCTATGCCTGTGAATTTGACTGATTGGTGGAGGCATACAACCACAAAGCGGCAATTGTGGTTTTCTTTTATTTTTTGTTGTTCAGTCGCCATGCATGCAGTGTGGTTTGTGCTATGCCGTGAGAACAAAAGTATCAGAACATAAACAAAACAAGTGGATATTAACAACAAAATCAAAATTGTGAGCACATGTAATGTGATTTGGATTAAGTAAAAAAAACTAAATCCCATTTACATGGGGGCACACAAACACAACACCTGACTGGAGTCAAATGGTAGAACCAAGAAGGAACACTATATACTATATAGCCTTTGGTAAAAGGGATTGCAGCTGAGAGGGGTAGTTATTTCCAGGTAGAAGTCTTTGAATAATCCCTTCGATGCCCTGGAAGTTGTCAGGTGATTGTTTTGGAGGGGCTTCCTACAGATAGTATGGCAGTTTTGCTATGAGTGTTACTATGAGCATTTGTGGGGTGAATAGTCAAATATTGTAAAATGCACTGGGTGTGTAGAAAAGTGCTACATACTGTACTGTAAGTCCATTTACAACTCTTGTTGTCAATGCTCCTCTGTCAACTATTTCACCCAGATTAACTTTCTCCCCCTGAGCTTCTTTGCCTTTCCAGCACTAAATACAACAAAATTAACAATGCAACTTTTTTCTGATACACAGGTTTTGTACAATCTCCCACAAGTATTTGTGTTACACCGTAGAGGGATCTAAATGTGCCAGAACAGAGCTGCCAACCCGTCATCGTCTGCTTTCCATTTTCTCTGCATAGTCATACAGTATGACTTCTTTTTGAATCAAGACTACAGTCTATCCTTCTCATTTTTTGCAGTTTACAGCTAGATTACAGATTGGTTTTCAAACTAAGATCAACAAGTTTATGAACAATAAATTTTACTTCATGCAGCACAGGTGCATTATATGTTTCTTTTCACAGACATTGGACATCAAGTTAAGTCCACTGGGATTTCATTAGACCGATTTTATTTTGAACTGCTTCATAAGGCACCATACCACCCTTCACTTCTTTGCTAATGCAAATAAAGTCCATAAAGCTTAGGTAAAAGAGTTGTACAAAAATTCTACAAGGACAAAAACATTAGGAATGTTGGGTGTTTCAAATGCTGGTTGACATTGCTCTTGGTAACCCAGTTTATACAAGGTAACTGAGTGAGAACAGTAAATGTGAAAGCACACTAAACACCAGTGCTACACAAGTTACTCACAAAAGCAGAGAGAGCACAAAAGACTAAGTTGTTTAAAAGAAAGTATTAATTACTGTGAATATATTTCTTCTCTGACTTGTTTAAACAACAGTTACCAGAGCCCGAGGATGGCGTGCTTGTGCACGGTATGTTCATGGATGCCTTTCGCTGGGACGATGACAATATGGTGATTGAGGATGCACTACCTCGGGTGATGAACACCATGCTGCCAGTGGTGCACTTTGAGCCTCAGCAGAACTACATGCCTGAGCCTCACCTCTACCATGCTCCTCTGTACAAGACCTCAGCCAGAGCTGGGACTTTGTCCACCACTGGTACATACTTGATCTCAACAGACATATTCACATAAGAGTTTAGTTAATGCTTTTGCATTTTAAGGCATTTTTTGACTTATTGTATTTTGAGCAGATGGAATTTTTTGTTAATATACCATAATGCAGCAGGTACTCATTATTTTGGGTAGTTATTATTGAAAAGGCACAAGGAATGTCCTCTTATCACTAACATAAAGGATAATTATTTTGATTCATATTTTCCCTCACCCTTTATTTCTGTCTCCCTGCAGGTCACTCAACAAATTTTGTTGTCACAGTAATGCTTCCCTCCAAGCGACCTTGCGACTATTGGATAACAAAAGCCTCTGCTCTCCTGTGCCAGCTGGATGATTAAATTTTCAAGGACAAACAACGGAGTTTTAAATGTGATTATTCAGTGACTTGAATTAATGTATCTTTTGTGGATTAGTTTTAAATATTTCCACAGACACTGTTTATGCTCAGAGTGCACTTAGTTCACATACATTGTAATAAACCCTTCTGTGTTAGCCCCGTCTGATCTATCTGCTTCCATAACATACTTGTGTATTTGAGGAGATCAGTTATTTGCAGCAACAAAATCTCATCCTGCTGATACTTGATGAGAATTGTGCAGTACATCCAGACCTCTGAAGATGAGACATTACGTCTCTACAATGGAAACACCTTATCCTAGACTCTGTTCCATTCACGTTCAGTGGTAAGTTACTGGATGACACATAGATGTTAATGGCTCACAAAAAAAACAAGATAGCTAAGAGGGATAAGTTGAGACAGGAGAAGGAGCACTGATCATCAAATGATATGTTTTCACTGCAGCGCACACACACATCAGCAGCCTATTTGTGTCACTTAGGACATATAGTGCAAACATAAAACAGGGCTTTTCAAACACATTAGGTAAACCCACTGCAGTACTGGCACATGGTGCAGACACAGAGCTCTGTCTGTGTCGCAGATACAGTGCCTTGCGAAAGTATTCGGCCCCCTTGAACTTTGCGACCTTTTGCCACATTTCAGGCTTCAAACATAAAGATATAAAACTGTCATTTTTTGTGAAGAATCAACAACAAGTGGGACACAATCATGAAGTGGAACGAAATTTATTGGATATTTCAAACTTTTTTAACAAATAAAAAACTGAAAAATTGGGCGTGCAAAATTATTCAGCCCCTTTACTTTCAGTGCAGCAAACTCTCTCCAGAAGTTCAGTGAGGATCTCTGAATGATCCAATGTTGACCTAAATGACAAAGGATGATAAATAGAATCCACCTGTGTGGAATCAAGTCTCCGTATAAATGCACCTGCACTGTGATAGTCTCAGAGGT